TGAAAAAACTAAGCATTCAAAACTGCAAAGGACAACTTGCCGGACAAACCATTAACCTTCGAATGTGGTATCTTGATCCTATCAACTGGTACAAAGGAAGCATTTGTTCAAGAATGAGTCGATGAAGGTGCACTTTTTTATGAACTTAAACTTCCAACGGAGATGTTGAAATACAACACGGACTAACTATAGAAAAGTGGAATTGAAGAGTTTGGACACTTCTGACTGTATATTTCGAAATTGCTTTTGGAAGGTCAAAGCGGTGTACTCATCGGAATTATTGATACAACATGGCAGACACAAGTTTGGATTCTATGGATAGAGAGCATGGTTATCTTGTTTGATGCCTCAAAATGAAAGATCGTTGTATTATCGAAATGAGTATGCCTAAAATTAGCATGAATGCTTCACCAAGAAGATATGTTATCTAGCAACTGAAACGACTAGAGGCTCTAAAGAGCCTGTGTCGCTCACCATGGTCTATGTGCATATCAAACAAAGGACGCTCTCCAACATTGTAGACGAGAAAAGACCATGACAAAAATCTCTATTTTGTTGATCTTGTATTACTGATCTTTTAGTCTGTTTAGTTTCTCTCTATCTTCTTTAGTTTTTGCTAAAAACACAAAAGATGGTAAAAAAAACTCATTTAAGGTCAATCGCTCCTATGAAGAGTGACAGTCTACTAACTATATCGACAAAATTTGATTTTTTAATAGATCTTGCCTTGCTAATCATTTTTGTGATTTAAAGTGTCTATTTATCTATTATAATTTAAATCATATAAGGCATAACGGAAAAAAATGTTTCTCTCTAAATATCATAGTTTTCATGATAATAGGCAAAAATGAAAATTTTTTTTATTAAATTTGTCATTATGGGCAATCACTCCTATAAGAATTTGTCTAACAGTTTTGACGTATATAAATAATTGGTAGAGCACATTATTCTGAGCATGTTTGCTCCTTTTAGATTTTCTCTATTTATAACTGTTCAAAAAATAATAGACAAAACTTTCATTTTTACCCCTATGTTCTATTTTAAGCCATTACGACCGTTTTGGTTGGTAGGCGGGGTCACCGGAAACATTTTTTAAACTAGACACCCTAATGATGATTGTGGCCAAGTTTGGTTAAATTTGTCTCAGTAGTTTCATCAGAGAAGACTTTTGTAAAAGATGACAAAAATTTAGAAAAAATTGACTATAAAGGGCAATAACTCCTTAAGAGGTCAATTGACAATTTTGGTCATTTGACTTATTTGTAGATCTTACTATGCTGAACATTATTGCTGTTTACAGTTTATCTCTATCTATAATAATATTCAAGATAATAACCAAAACTGCAAAATCTTCTTAAAATTACCAATTCAGGGGCAGCAACCCAACTATGGGTTGTCTGATTTGTCTGAAAATTTCAGGGCAGATAGATCTTAACCTGATGAACATATTTATCCCTGTCAGATTTGCTCTAAATGCTTTGGTTTCAGAGATAAAATATATACATTTACCCATATCTTCTATTTTTAGCTATGGCGGCCATCTTGGTTGGCGGGCCGGGTCATCGGACACATATTTTAAACTAGAAACCCCAATGATGATTGTGGCCAAGTTTGATTAACTTTGGCTAAGTAGTTTCAGAGGAGATTTTTTGTAAAAGTTCACGACGGACGACGACAGAAGACGACGGACGCCAAGTGATGAGAAAAACTCAGTGATAACAAAAGCTCACATAGCCCTGTGGGCCAGGTGATCTAATAAAAGTGTTACTGCGAATATTTACATGCAGAACTTACTCAGATGTAGAATAGGAATCGGAACAGAGAGAAAGAATATGATGACTACGTGAAAGAAGGTATGTTTACAATGCAGCACAAAGTGGAGCGCACCTCAACCAACAATGGAGATGAACGCAGACCAAGATATCCATAATAATTTGATTCGTAGTCTCCCGAAGAAAAAGAAGCAGATGAATCATTGACTAAAGGTTGGTATGCAAAGAATCGACAAGGACTGGTCATTGCACCAGCGCAACGCATGAACAAGAAACTGGACGGTATCGACGGTTTTAGAGTATTAGTTATCTTAGCCGAAAACTCAAGATGTAGTAAAGCCAACTCACATTCAAGCCCTAGAAAGTACGATCAATATGTCTTACTAACATGATAGGGTCAGGCAAACAATGCCCATGGTTAAATATCACACATTCTCACAAAATTTCCATTCAAGAAAGCTTGTTCAATAGTTGTTGTTACTGCACATCCAATTGCTTGATCCATGAGTTGAATGTAGTGAGGTATCCATCAGGTTTGTAGCCTTACAGGTATTTTTCTAGGCCGGTTTCAGAATAAAAATAGCATTCAAGATCGAACAGGATCCAGGTCTTACCAACACCATGTTTGGTTTCCTGCTTTACCCAGACGATCTCTCCAAATCCAAAAGTCTCAACCAATTGCTGTACAAAGATTCATCGGCAGGTACCGAATCGGAAAACAATTTGAAACACGTCATGCATACATCATCATCAAACCGACAACCAAGTGAACTTCGTCGTGCGCTATTCCGTTGGAATTTATATTTTGATTGAAGACGAATATGACAAAATCGAGGTGGCAAAATATTACACTAGGTTAAATATTCTGGATTGTACCCCATGCCAATCCCTCTGATCAAAACAAATTGCGATTGAAAAAAAAAATATCCAAAGCAAAACTAAAATCGAATATGGATTTCGCATGAGACAATATTCGTGATTTCATGGCTGTTCCCAAAATTATGGACGGAGTTGCGAAGTTGTTCACCATCAGAATGAACACTTGCGCTCACATCATCGACAAACTACGAAATTCAACGACAAAAACAACTCAGCAAAAAAAACCAACACAAGACAAATATCATCATCGATGCAAATCTCGTCGAGGGCAACACTTCATATAGCCCTAATGTATCAAGTAGACTTTAAGGTGGATAACACCATTAATACGGTATTGACTCGAGAACCCACGTGTACGACAAGACACGTGGTTACACTGAAGGGGATAACAGTGATGCCATTATCGGCCTCATCAGCATTCTGGTTAACAGTGACATCATCAGTGGAAGTTTCATGAATGAACCACAACAATCGACCATCTTAAATTTCTTCTGAAACGATCCACCTAGAATCTTCAGTATTTATTGGCGACGCTGAAAACAATCTATCGCAGAAGATCAAGACGGAAAACTTATGTTGCATGCGAAATTCCCTAAAAATTTGTGAGATCGCCAAATAACGTACCTGTTACGATGTAGACAAAGTATTATAGAAATAGAGCTGACTGCAGGGAAACTAGACATACACCCAACAACATTTACCAAAGAGTAAATCATTAACAAATATAAGCCTGTTCTATGTTTCTTTCGAATTTCAACCAAAGATAAAGAACTGGATCTTCATTCCCTCTCCTTTATACTTAAATTATATAAGTGTCCTTTAAAACAACGTTATATTGCATTGTCAGCCAAATGCGCCAAATAACTTTTCCAAATCATTAACATTTATTTTATCAGCAATTCAAACCGCGTTTCCGGGTAACAAGTTCTCCACAGATGGTGTGATACAGATGTGGATAATAAAAAATCCCAAACATCTGATAGTATACATACAATGTACAATCTATAAGTATCTTTGGTCGTGCATTAGTATAAAAACATGATCTGCTTACTCTTCCGGGCACCTTAGAGGTTGGGTTGGGTCATGTTGCTGAGCATTTAGTTTTCTATGGTGCATTTCATAGACAGTCGTTTGTCTTTTCATTCATTTTTTCCTGTTTTTTGGGAAATGGTGTTGGTTTTTCTTCGACTTATGATTTTTAATTGTCACTTTGGTACTTCTGCCTCTTTTTGATATAAATGTGTGTGACGTGTGCTGATTGGAATAAATAAATACTGTTAAATCTTTGACTGTTACATATATTGTAATCTGGGGAATTGAATCTCTTATTTTATAACCTGTTTTTCCAATAAAACCTGTTTAACAGCCGATTGTACTTCTTATAATACTAAAGCTCATTATTGCTAATAAGACCAAATAATCTTCCTGGAAATAAGATCTGCCAATACAAATACAATTGCACATGTGCTTCACTTTAAACTGATCTAATCACAAGCTGTAACATGTAAACTATGTAAATTCAAAAGTCAATGAACCATGACTGAAAGGGTATTGTCATAATATCTCTATGGCATTGAATTATGTTAATGCTTATACAACTGCATACCAAATATCATTGACTTACCATTAGTGGTTCCCCTCAATGTGACCTAATCACAAACCACCAACTTATAAATGCAAACTTTTCCAAAGTTTGAGACAATAGAAAATGACTTAAGTTAGGGGTGGAGACTAAATAATCCCATGGACATTTTTTATGTGTGAATGCTTATTCAAATACAATACCATTGACTTACCATGAGTGGTTCCCATAAAATTTACATATTCAGAAACTAACCAAAAGTTTCAAAGTCAATAGACCAATAAACTCAATGGAAATTAGAGCCAATGTTACTTCAACTGCATAACGAATTTCATTGATACACCATTAGCTGTTCTCCGTAAAAACTAATCAAAAACATTAACAACTTGTTGACGAGGATTCAGCCCTCCTAAGCCTCACCTTCCAAACTTGGTCTTGACAAGATGGAATCAATACATAAAGGTTAAATATCAATCATAGAAAAGCTAAAATTTTGCCGCAAGGGGCATCTGGGTTGTCATATTGTAAGCCTGATATCTTTCAGGAGTTTTTACCCTTTGTTCCATTTATAGTAACAACTACCATGATAGTTTGCTTTACTTAAATGAAATTGTAGTTGAATTAAAAGAAGTAATCCACAGAGGTGATAAATAAACATCTGTAAAATTTTAATTTCCAACCACTAAAACCTGCACCAACAAAACTACTAATCAAATAAAACCCTCAAATATACATGCCTTGTTACATAGCTGATAAATACAAAGATATAGAATGACAGATGATTTTATTGCAGAAAGATTAACCATAAAAAGCATTGTAGACAACACAGATCTTTGGCTATAAGCAGACTGAAATTGTTCATAGTTAAGTACTTGTTCACAAAATATTTCAATGGTTCAATACGTACTAGAACTTGTCAAATGTTAGGTCCTAATCTGAAAAAATAAAAACTGCTTTCGAAATCAAATTAGTTTTTTTCCACCTAAATTGGCTTTAGTGGAATGAACATATTTAAATTGGTTTAATTGATTTTTTTTACAATATTAATTCAAAATAGCAGAAAATGATTGGTTTATTATCATTCATTTATTAGAATTAATGTTAAATTTTTGATGGCTGCATAATTTTTTTTTCTCAATGTAAAAATAAGGACTTATTCAGTCTGCTATTTGTGTCTTGAGGAAATTTTTAATGAAGGAATTTACTCTGTAATAAAAAAAATTACCTTAAATAACTATAAAACAGTACAATTTTACATAGAACTGTTATCCTTTTCTCTTAAAATAATTATACATTTTGATACCAACTTAAATGGCATTCCATTTCTTGTGTATTGATTATAGATATTTTATAGTCAATATTTGACACATACATTATAACATAATAATAACTCCACTTCTAACATGATTATACAGTAATGGAAGCAATAATAAAAAAAAACATCACCTAAACAGGATGCAACAGAATAGTAATGGCAGCCTGAATAGTTGAACTACTTCATACAGGTTCATACAGGTTAACAGATATTTTGGCTCAAAAACTGCATTAAAAATTCACATCAAAATGAAAATTTATAACCTCACTAGACATGTTTTTTTTAATTCAGACTTTCCCAAAACTGGTGATTTGATCTGATCAGATTTAATGTTTTTTATTCACCCAAAGCACTTTACATATATATTTCAATAACTGAATGGAAACATGTTTACATTGACTACATAATACAATAAGCACTATTTTTGTAGTATTTATATTTTGTAGTATTTATATTAGGATTTTTTTTGGAGTTCATCCATTGCAAAAATAGGTTTAAATTATCTTCTTTTTATTAACACAATGTAGACATAATACACAATATGAAATTACAGTATGATTATGATACATCTTTAAAAAATGATATGATTGGAAAACTGTTATTAAATGAGTTGTCTCCCTAATCATAATACATCGAATAAGAAACCTTTATCATGTCAAGATTGGGACCTATAATATGTATGTATTATTCCAAGGTCAAGAATACTAAAAGATTTATTCTCAGTTGTTCACAGAAAAAATAATAGTGCTGATATATATATAAATGTGAGGGAAAAGTTAAAGAAAAGACTTTCTATTGAAATATTGCTGTTCCAAAAACTGACAATGTACTTTTGACTTAACCAGTGCAAGAATTTTTCTCTTCTTTCTAAACATCATTTTTTTTAAATCTCATTTTGAACTGAAATTTAAACTAAAAACTTGACAGTATATATACTTGAGTGTGTAGAAAGAATAAGAAACTTAAGTCTACTAAAAGGACCATAAAATCAAAATCACTTTCATAAACTACCCATTTAAAGTCTAACATTAGGCAATAGAATCATGGGACATGCAAGAAAAAGATGACTGAAAATCGTTTTTGAGGTTTCCATACATATAACTGTAACAGCCTATTAAGAATTACTGGTTCAACTAACAAACAAACGAAGTTAATTTGTATGCATGAAGTAAATTTTCATCTTACATTAGATTTTAATGAGACATTTATGATTGGCCAAATATGATACAAATACACATATTTCTGTCTTTTTCTTTAACCTCATATTGACCATCACCTGGTACAAAGTACAAACCTTTACAATTTCATGACAGATAATATCATACTTATAAAGACCTGGCAAGGAAATATACAATACAAAACTGTGCAAGGTAGATAACTGCATTTGTTGTGCAAGATTAACTCAATAATTCGGTGGTTCTAGTTAAAGGCTAATTATTGATGATTGTGATCATTTAATTTCAATATCAGTTTTAGATAATTTATTCCACTTAAAATGTTGTAAATCTATGAAATATTTATGAAATTTCTATTTCAATTTGAATTTTCTACTGTTCAGACTATATATCTTTTTTTCAAATATTTTTAAACATTAAAATGATCTTAAAAGCATAAAAGTAATTCATTTCTAAATCCTGTATGTAGAATAGTTTGCAAATTGTAGTATTTTTTCATTTTTGTTTGGTGCTTAAAAAAGTTACATTTTTACCCCAAAAAAATCGTTTTTTGGCTGCTTGATAAGGTTACATTATTTTCTGTGAATATATAATGTGCTACATATATTTTCTAGTGATAACTAGCTTTGTGTCTAGAATCAATATGGCAGCTTTTTGAAATTACAAAAATTAACATCATTAAAACAAAGTTATGATTCCATGCAGAGGTGGCTAGAGGAATAATATAAAATAATATATGACTTCATTTGTAAAAAAAATCAACAATTCCATATAAAATATTTAGGATTAGAAATTAGAAAAAGTTTCTATCACTACAAATTGTCTTAATCTCCTTATTTTTATATTAATAGGGCTTGTGCTGAATTCCTCTAGCCCCTTATTTTGATTATGTATTTATGAAAAGGAAATCTAATAACTAGACTATTTTTTTTCATTTAAATTCTTTTGTTCTTAAATTACCAAGATGCTCACTCAAACTCAGTTTTAAATTTCCTATCGAAACAATAGCACACAGAGATATTTCTCTCCTATATGTAATAGAAGGGGAATAACTCATTTTGTAAAAATTGAAATAAAACAATGAAATTAAAAACAGAAGAGTTTGTCTTTAAACAGAAGCCTCTGTTTTCTCACATTCTATTCCACTGTCTGGTCTAGATTTCCCAGGAGCCACTCCAGTGTCTGTTCGAGGTTTTGCCGTTTCTTTAAATGTCAATTTCTGAGTATCAATCTGAAACAAAAATTAATAGTATATACAAAAAGAATTGATATAAATATATTTTGTTTTCACAAGCTATATGCATTAGTTGGTGTAAAATTCTTTTTTAAAATTTCCTATGTTTTATCATTGAATTGCTAACTAAACTTAGAAAATCAGTTGACTATATGATCTATGTCCTTTATAAAGTTTTCTTAATAATTTAAAACTGATGATATAGTGTCCTTTTGACTTTGGTCTCAATCAATCTGCATCTAAAATTTTACCAAATTAAATTATTTACTATCTGTATTAATATTTTGCCAAAATGCAAATTGATACATGCAAACAATAAAACTATCTGAAATTAGGACCAATTACATTATTACATGTTTAATCAATGTAATCCAACATATCCTAAAACAAAAGACTGTTTCCACTGCCTGCACTTCAATAGCCAATGAACTATTCTGTTTCAATTAATATACTTTGTTTTATTTTTAAGTTCCTAACAGAAGTAAAATGATAGGTAACAGAAGAGAATTGACAATGACATCTGGTATGTTATCAAGATGGTAAACATGGAAATACACAATGTCAAATATAATATACATTTATGGTATATTTTGTAATACATTAATAACAAGTACTTTTGAGGAAACCAAACAATAGTTAAAAATAAAATCATTGCCATCACTGAATCAATACTGTGAACTTATATATACCATGTTTTAATACCCCAGATTATGCAGTTAAAGTTTTACTGTGAACTTATAGTACCCATGTTATAATACCCCAGCTTACACAATATAAGTTTATTATATTCTATTCCTTATATATCTATTCTATATTGACTTTGCAGTTTTTACAATGTCAGTATGAAAACATCTAATGAATTCTCTGAATGTTATATATTTTCCTTCATCTGCATTTACACTTAAGATTGTTTTAAGCAATCCCTAAGTTACCTACATGTTGAAACAACTGGGGAAAAACTTCTTACCTTATCCCTGTTTTCCTGTGTCAATCAAAACTAACTTGGCTTTCTTTTGGTCTATACTTATCCATCTGCAGAGGGGGTTCAAAAGGAAGCCTTTCCAACCAATTTACAGAACTTACCCTGTATTTATTGATTAATTTTATTGGTTTTCATTCTATAATTGCATGTAATACTTGACACTGGAACAAGAGTTTACACTTTTTTATCGCAACAATAAATGAATTGTGTACATAAGTTTGGAGAAGTATTTGATGCTTCATAACACTTGTACTTACTTAAAACAACTTCAAGATACAAGTATTGAGTGCACAGAAATCAGTATTACAAGGTTTTACCCCAATCATATATATATATATATATATATATATATATATATATATATACTGATGAATGTTTACCATAAACCATACATACATACATATATATAAATATTGATAAATGTTTTTGTTTGACAAACTAATTGTATAGATTCCTGTTATGAGTGTAATAAAGCCATGTACAACATATCCACTGCATTATCACAGACAACTGTCTTACAGCTGTAAACTTGCTGGGGTTATTTTTACTTACCGGTCAATTACATAAAATGAAAGAAAATATCCCAAGGATGAACCATATTGATGTAATTAAGGGTGATGCTAGAATTCAACCTCAGATTGGAAAGATCCTGCATTGAAATCTTGCAAATATCCAATATCCACAATTGCAGCTTCTCAAATAATTGAAATGAAACAGTAAGTGCAAAAAATACAGTTATATATGAGATATCTCCACCGTGAATAGTTTATACAAAATCATCCATATTGATGTGAAGAGAGGACTTATTGTTTAATGCTTGAATTTAACCTGACTGCTTGAAAATAGCATGCTGTTAACAGTAAAGCAAAAAATAAAGTCCCCACTAGTACTGTAAACATTAACCTGGCTATATCAAAAATAGCTGATTGTTATATACAATCAATTATCATTTTTAAATTTTATTCACTTTCAGAAAATATCTATATATGTCTAATAATGGTTCTAAAAACCTTACTAGCCAATATTTTGTTAATAATGATATATTTGTTTATAATGATCTATTTGTTTATAATGAACTATCAAATTGATAAAATGCTAACTGTTCAATCTATCGATACTTTAAAGAATCTAGCTTTACAACAATTGAAATTATTGTGCTAAAATGTCTACATTTACAATGATTTTTTTTGTAATTCAAACCTTATATTATCTTTCAGTGAACTTTTAGTACATTGGCAGAAAAATCTATTACCCGCCTATTCTGTCCTGAAAATATTGAAACGATATCTAATATTTCAAATTCAATAAAGTAAAATAAAAGTTTGTAATTGAAATCATCAATCCAGTGTGTACTTTTTGAGAAAAACTGTTTAGGAGACAACTAACCTTTTTATTCCAAATTAATACATGAAATATGCTGAAATAGATTAAACAAGCAAGCAATGTTGGAAATTGTTTAATTCCATCATAAAGCAGGTTTGTTTTGCATTCTTAAGTATATAAAAAAGAAGAACCAAGAAAATGTATTAATGGCCAAATCCTCAGCTGAAAAAATATTCACCATCAAGTGTTCATATGTCAGTCAGACAAAAGTGTTTACCCTGAGTGAAGAAGGAGGAGATATATAAATAATGTTATAATACACGTAACCCAAGAGAATGAAAGATGAAGGAAATAAAGAAAAATCAGTCTTTGTGAAAGGTAATATTCCATTCCATGTGTTTTCAAACAGGAGTTACAATATCTACATGTGCATAAGGCATAAATCTGTGAATTCTTATCTATGATTCCATAGCAACAAACAAAGAAACTTACTTCTAACTACCCCGGACGACCTGCTTGGGTTCCGACTCCTTCCTGTTAGTAAAAGTCAAATTATAATTAGTACTAAGTTTAGTTACAAGTATATATCATTAGTCGATCATCCAAAAAGTCTTTGGAAAAAGTCAAGCAGAATTCAAAGATTCGATATTTCAATTATACACTTTGCTCTCATAACAACATAATGACTAAATGTCTCAATTGTTTGTCCACCATTTCTTCAAAAGTTTGGTACCATTTGAATTTTTTCAGGGTATATTCTTGACTGAATTGAAAAATATTTTCTATAAAGGAAAAATAGGTGACGAAGTATATTTGGTTTCAGTCAGCAATGATAGTTCTGAAGGGGAAATAATACTGGAACTTTTCCCCTGAAATAGCCATTGACCCATAAAAGAGTTTTGAGGATTTAAAAAAAAAGTTATTTGAGAAATTTTAGAACTTCTATTGCATTTTGGATGATATTTTCTGGTTTGGTAGTGGAGAGGGTTAAAAAGCCCTGTAATCAGTTTCACAAAAAATCTTACGACTAACGTTGATCGTAAGTATACTGAATTGTTCACGACTTATGATCAACTGTAGTGGTAAGATTTTTTTTAAATTGATCACTGATTTGTAGTGCTTACAATCATAATTCTAAAAGGACCGTTTGTGTTTTTCCAACGAAGTTTTACAATTATTTACCTTTAACAGGCTTTTTGAATTATTGTTTTGTTAAATATATGTTTATTGTTTATTTTCTTCTTCAAAGCAGATATTTTGTTTCATTAGTCAAAACATTAAACACTGTACATTCTGATTCAGGTAGAGTTTGATTTAAACAGACTTGTGATTTAAGAGAACATTTCAAAATAATTTATTATCCGACTTAAACTGCTCCTTGCGTTATGTCATTTACCAAATGATGTCAGTCAAAGCTCCAGGTACAAAGAAACTATTAGGCCTTTTTTGTCAAAATGCATTACAAATGCATTTTCTTATATAGCTAATAACAATTGACACATAGTAATATAAAAATCTTGGGAAGAAAAATACTTTTATATAAGCAAGTAAATGATTTTCTTATTTATATTTTAGAAGGTTATTATGCTGGTTTGAGTGACACGGCTGTTAAGTATTATGATTAAATCGATCAGAAAAAAAAGATTTCTTTATTGTAATTCTAATATCCTTTTAAAATCTTTAAAGGGACCAATTACAATAAAAGCACATGATCTATAAATTACATTGAACTGAATATCCTTGTCATGGATCATATAAAACACATGTCAAATTTGAGGAGTCAAGTTTAACTTCAAAAATAATACTTTAAACCTTATTATGCTTTAATAAAATAATTTTAAATTTCTTAATCATATTTGTAGTTATGAAAATTATTTCCAAAACAACTAACTTCTATTTGTTCAAGATGTTATGTCTTGAGATTATCTTTCCCTTAAAGTGCCTACAATATTAACACCCAACTTAAGTAAAAGAATTTATATCTTTTTAAAGTAATATAAATATTATTAGTATAAATAAATAAGGTAACTATGCATTAATATAAAACTTATTACCAGAATAGTGTTTGTATTGTATACTTTGAAGATTAATATTAAAGAAATTTATTTTGGCTAAATGCATGCAATACACTCATTTGAATGAATTTAAATGCTCTCTTTAACTGAAATATGTCAACACAAGAGATATGAGATATGTCTCACCTACTTTGCACCAATATTGGATTGAAATGAATGTTACTGCATGATTTTAGGAGTGGCTATCCCTAACCAAGATCTTCTAAAACTCACCAAATCATATAAAGTTAACAAATCAAACTACATAATCATTGGTGTTTACTAAAGTTATAACTCAACATCTCCAATTAAAGTATCAAAGATGCTTGACAAGACTGTTACTCTATTGTATTAGGAAATTATAATTATTCAATTGTAATTCACGACAGAGAGATCAAGACTGAGATTTTATTGGGGGGGGGGGCTTTCCTTTATGGAGTTACATATATGGTAAATGCATAAACGTTTTACATGTCCCACTTCTAACGTTGCCTATTCCCCCCCCCCCCCCCCTTTTTCAAAATCCTAGATCACCACCTGAGATCAATATCAGTGTGAAAATAATATGAGTTACAAGATTGCCTAAATATTGTATCAATATAAATTTATTAGTTCTGAAGTATATTTCAGATTAACAG